CTTATTATTTCGCAGAAAGGTTCGTAAGTATCTGGATTTTCGAAATAAATGGAATATAACTTTTCGGGTACTACATTTTCTTTCACAAATTGCATGACGTCATTTTCAAAATTATTTTCCGATAATTGGACTAGAAATCTTCTTTTCTTCTCGAATAATATCAAGCGTTTCGTTTTTGCAGGTGAATGCAAAACGCTCGTAATAATTACTTGATTAGCCCCGTAATTAACTGCTGATTCTATAATAGGGACTCCTACTATAGGATCTTGTTCGTTATTTGTATGTATGGTTTCATTGTCGTCTTCATTTGCTGGTGGGTCAAGGTCGGGTTGTGCCATTGTTGAAATTAGGTCTAAGTTATCTTCGTTGGCATTTATTTTTTCGTTGTTCGTGTTCGACAATGAGGTGCCTTCTTGTTCAAGTTGCTTATTAAATTCTTCGATGTATGAGACTAAACTTGAGATGTTGGCGGCGTCTTTTGTGTGTAACTCAATGCGACTTAGCGCGTCAGCATTTGTGTTAAGTTTTCCTTTCTTAAATGTTATTTGGTAGTCGAATTCTTGTAATTTTATTCGCCATCGTACTAATTTTGAAGTGGGATCTTTATAGTTAAACAGCCACTGTAAGGGTTTATGGTCTGTTATGACGTTAAACTTTCGTCCATACAGGTATGGCCTAAAATATTTTGTCGCCCACACTAGGCACAAATATTCCTTCTCAATGGTAGAGTAGTTTTGTTCCGAGTCGTTCAATGTACGGGATGCGTATGCTATTGGCAGGTCCTGACCTATGGGCCCTTGCGACAGTACTGCGCCTAGCGCTATGTTGCTAGCGTCACAGGTCAAATTAAAGGTTTAAGAAAAGTGTGGGTATTGTAGTATCGGTTCATTTGTCAATAGTTTTTTACATTTTTCGAAACAGTCAATGAACTCTGGGTTATGTTCAATCTTGGCTCCCTTTTTCAAACATTTGGTTAGTGGTTTTGTTAATTTTGCGAAATTGTTTATGAAGCGTCGATAATAACCTAATAGTCCAAGAAATCCTTTTATTTGCTTCGTTGTTTTTGGTATGGGATATTTTTTGATTGCGTTGACTTTATCTGGATTAGGACGTACTCCTTCAGGTGTTATAACGTGTCCTAAGTAGGCTACTTCGTGCCTTAGAAACTCGCTCTTATCTAATTGGATCTTAAAATTCGTTTCTCTTAATCTTTGGAATACGGTTTCTAATCGCTCCAAGTGTTCCTGTAATGACGACGAGAAGACTATAATGTCATCAAGGTAAACTAGGCACTTCTCGTTTTGGATTCCTCGTAAAATGCCATCCATGACCCTCTGGAATGTGGCGGGGGCATTGGATAGACCGAAGGGCATTCTGAGAAACTCGAAATGGCCATTTTCTGTACTAAACGCCGTTTTTTCAATGTCCTTTTCATTCATTTGAATTTGATGGAACCCACTAGCCAAATCTAAAGTTGTGAAATATTGACACTTCCCTAGCTTATCCAGAAGGTCCGTTATGTTAGGAAGAGGGTATCTATCTGGCATGGTCTTTGCATTGACGCCTCTGAAGTCAATAACGATTCTCCCATTTCTGCTTCCCAGAAGCATCTGTTTTTTTTGGGACCACCCAAATAGGGGCAGACCAAGGAGAATTGCTTGGGCGTATAATATTCTGGTCCAGCATTTTCCTTATTTGTGATTCAACCTCTTGCTTATGAATGAATGGGTACCTATATGTTTTTGTATATACAGGCTGTTCATCTGTTGTTTTTATAGAGTGTTTTATTTCGCTCGTGAATGTCAATGGCATATTTTCCTGGTAAAATATGTCCGAATATTTTCTACATAATTCAATTATTTTGGCTCTCTCTTCTGAATTAAGGTGATCTGTGCGAATTCCAGTATAGTCAAAAATATCAGTATCGTAATTTGATGCCACAAAATTATTTAGATCAATTTGTTCTATTTCTTCTCTATTAAATGGTTCCACTTCAATTGGTCGTGAAAGATCTAATATAATTGGCTGACATGTATTGTTCAAGATTGTCGTTAAAGCGTATCCATTTTTTGCAATGCTTAGTGAGTTCGGAATCTCGCAATTATGCATTTTCTGATATGGAATTATAACTTCGCCATCATGTATGCTGGTTTTAATTTTCACAAGCTGTTCGGTACGTGGTGAGAGAGTGATATTATATGCTTGGTTTATGTTCGTTCTTTGGAATTGTAACTTGATTTTTGCAAATGGAGTTACTAAGAATCCTGTTTCATAGTTTATGCTAGCTTGTAACATTTTTAGATTATCAAGTCCTATAAGGCCGTCAAAGATGTTATGAAATTTAAATAAATAAAATTTCAAAGGTTTCCTATTGGGTAGATTAAAAATTTTTGAAGCGGGAATTTGAGCACTGTATTGATGTGCTGATTGTTGGAAAACAGTTGAAACGATAAATGGCTCATAGCTTATGTGATTTGGAAAGAATTTTTGAGCTAAGTCGGGGTCTATGAACGACTTGGTGGAGCCACTATCTATGAGAAATTTGAGATTGCATTCAGGAAAGACGATATAGGAGAGCTCACTTGCGTTGACGTTATTGAATGAAATTATTTCAGGTGATTCTAGGGTGCAGGGTTGGTTGACTGAATTTCCTGCAAATTTGATTGTTCCGAAGAACCAGCTGTGTCGTATTCTACGAATTCAGTGGTTTGGAATTCATTATTTGAATCGTTAAAATTATCGGAATAATTGTAACTTTGTTGAGGGTCAACTTCGGTCTCATAATAATATGATTCTTGATCATTTTCGGTGTAAGAAAGGTCAGTGACGTTCGTCGTATTTGTATTATATAGTTCTTCTGAAATAAAGTTACGTGGTTGCGTAACTTGGAAATAATTATTACCAGAAGTTTGTGGTGCATTGGTAGCAGAATAGGTTTGTCTTGTCGTTGTAGACATTGGGGTAGGTCTAGGAAAATTTTTGTTTTGACCTGGTTTAAATACATTGGTCTGATTTTTATTTTTGAAGACCTGTGAGTTAGTTGGGAATTTTTGTTGTATTTTATTATAATCAGGTCTCACATGAATAGGTTGAGATGGAAATTTTTGTTGAGTGAACGTGTTATTTGGTGTATTAGCATTAAATGTGTTGGAATTATTGTATCTTTGTTGTGTATTTTGTTTGAAGTGCTGTGAGGGATGTTTTTGTTGAGTTTTAGCTATATTCTGAAAATATTGTGTATTATATTCCTGTGTGACAAACTGTAAAGCTTCGGGAAGGTCTTTGGGACGCATACACCTAATTGTTGTTCCCAATGGTTCCCTTAAGCCTGATAAGAAAGTTTTAAGGGTGAGATCATTGTATAAGTTTCGCTTTAAATTTTTCGCATTTTGGTCAACTTCATGACTATTTACATAAGAACAAAGCAGGTTTAAAATATGCATAACCCTGTCATAATATTGACTAGGCTTTTCTGAGTTTTGTTGTCTCAACATTACGAGATCTCTGTTTAAACATGCCTCGTCTCTTTGATCTGCAAAATGCCTGCTCAAAGTTAGTTTCAAATTATCCCAAGTAGTAACATTTTCTGTACCTAGGATCAATTTTGCGTTCCCAGTTAGTTTTCCAATGATGCAATTTATCAAGTAAATATTTTGAAAATGGTTTGGTTGATTTGCATCATAGAAATTATCAATTAAACTTTGGCATACTGCCAAATATCTATTCAAATCGTTAGGGTTACCATCGAATTGTGATACGCAATTTAAGTACTCAGGTTTAAATTGAGCCATATTGTTAATCGTATTAATAATATTTGAACTTAAATTATTTTGATTAGTGCTTGAATCAGTATCTGCAGCACTGTTATTTAATGTTTGATTAATATTTCTTATAAACTCTTCTGTATCAGAAGGTGAGTCAGTTTAAGGTAGAGATAGAAATAATAATCTTTCTGTTAATTCATCAATATCAGACATTAAAGAAATTACAAATTGCACATTGCACTTACATGAAAATTATTCCGTAGAGCAACATTTATAAGGCCAAGAATTTCTGGTAGGCTATGTTTATCCTTCCAAATTAATCCTGGTCTCGCGAATATTGGCTATTTTTGGTCCAATAATCCGATTGCTTGAAGGCAGTTCTTTGGTTTTCGATTTCGTAAAGCCACTCCGACACTTCTCGCAAACACTTAACACGATTTTCACACAAGGGTGTAGATTCGAGTTCCCGGTTAGTCCGATTTCCGAAAAGTTCGTAAACCAGTTCCAAAAACAAAAAATCCGGACGACTGCGCCAGTTATCAATACGTAGGCCGATAACAAGTTTTTAAAAAAACAATTTATTCACTAAATTACAATAGAGAAATACTTTCGCGTTACGCGTTACAAAGTTTCAAATAAGAAATATAATTACAATTCAACTGACTAACTATTCTAGACGGGCAGCGATATTTATAATAAAGAAAAGCGAATTAAGCAGTTTATATGAATGGTCAGCAAATAGAGCTGACATTACTCGTTCTTGAATATTTGAGGTCTTTATCTACTTAACGCATTGCCCTCATATATGCGTGGAAGAATCCTACAATTCGACGTGACGCGTTGGAAATTAAAAACCAGTACATTTTGGCAATGGTCGCAAGTTATAGACATGAACCGATACGTAAACTGCCAGTACCAGGAATATATTGGACGACTCAGCATAATGATAGAATAAGCATATTTTGTATTTTATTATTTCATGGGAGCTTTTTATATAGAATAAGTTTAATCTTAAGTCACACACTGTACCAGTAAGTTAAGTCTTAGTAAAATAAATCTTTTTTTAAAAAGCATTCTACTGGTTTGAGTATTTAACTCGGAATCAGTAGATTACTAAGCCTCCTTACCAGCAACAAGATCCCATGACTCCACAAGGGGGTATACATGGCCTAATATTTATATTATATGAAATAAGGTTTATAAAGAATCTTCACTCAAATCAAAAATCGATTTCAGGTAGCTGTCGATTGCGTTTGCCTGGTACTTTGCATAGCGGCCCGGTACGACGGCCACATGCGCGATCACGACAAACTACTCAGCAATAGCCTGCACAACGTCCAGCAAAACATTGAATCCGACGATCCAAAACTACTCTTCAATCTAACATCAGATTTGGCCCACGTCATTTGCCTAAACCTACCTCAATTCCAACTAATCCACTTCATTGACGGTTTAATAGATGGGCTTTTAGATTGTGAAACTTCCAGCTCAAACGGTACCAGTGTAATTTTAAATATTACATTGAAAAATAAAGGCAATGAGTTGCAAAACTATGTCAAACAAGTTACGGAGAAGATTTTAGGCCAACTGGACAAAATTCAATGTCCTAGGACGAAGTCTTCTACTTTGAGGGCAGTTTTGAGTTTGGCCAGTCACCATTCTAGAATTGTCGGTGGGATTTTGTTAATGCAACCTTTGCCTTATGAAAGGTAAAAATTGAAAACTTTTTTTTCTGGATTTGAATATACATATTAATTTTCAGTTCAATATGTGACTGTTGGTCTGTGCTATCCAATGACAACGCCCTAGTCCAAGATTTAGTAGACCAAATAAAAAAACTCATCAAAACCACTCCTTTGTATGAAATCCAAAGCACTACAGACATAAAGGTGGCAAGTTTGTCACCCTTGCAAGCCATTTGTGCCCTTCACGAGCTCCTAAAAAACATCCAACTAAAGGAAATTTGCCTGGAACAATTTCCAGAAATGTTTTCGCTGTTACTAATCAGTTTGGCCTCGTATATCGATTGCCAGGCCCCAGCTACAAAAACTTTGACTGAGAAAAACAACAAATATGGTTTTATATTAAATCGAGACGCCTACAAACTAAACCCTGCTAAAGTAGCTTTTGATACATTTAGATCGTTTTTGATTTGTAGCAACTTCAACAATATGGCTACAAATTTGCTTAGTTACAACAACTTGGACTCAACACAAGACAAAAACTTGTTTCTTGAAGTTGTAGACACTTTAGTGAATAGCATTTGCCTGGAAAAGCCTCAATCTTTGTCTTGGATTGTTGCTTGTCTAGGCCCTTTTATACGTTCCGAGCTGGAGCCTCAAAAAGTGGCAGTTGTAGCGTTTTTCACTTATTTACTCAAGCAAGGAACTCAGAATGAACAAACTGTTTTGATTGAGAATTTGTTGGAAATGATACTGGATGTGCAACTGGATCAGAGCTGTTTGGTGCGGCAAATTGGGCTAGAAGGTTTAGGCTATGCGGCTGAAAATTTAAGCAGAGATTTGATTGCAAGATATAGCAATCAGATTCTTGGAGTATTAATGAATAGTTTGGATTATCAAAATATTGGGTAAGAATTTTTGTTTCTATGATTTAAATTTTTTTAACTCATATAGACTTATATAGGAGCGAAAGTGATGTGATTCTAGAATCTCTTAGAACATTCTCGAAGTTGTTAAACGCCCTTGAAGGCTACAAGTTTCATTCGTTTCAAGTGACTGCAGCAGTCAGAGTGAAACTGCTATTTAGTCAAGAGGACAACAAACTGAGACAAGCGGCGTTTCGTCTTTTGGGTGATTTGGCGGCCAGTTTGGGTCCAGAAACCAATCTGGAAGCGTTTCGAGAACAAATTCAAGGCAATTTGGTTACTTTGTTGTTGCACTTGTGCGATCCGGATATTTATGTGGTCAAGGTAAGAATTTTTCTTTTATAATGTGATTATTTTGGACGTTTTGATTGGTTGAAAGCAAAACTTTGATAGACAAATTACAGTTACGTACAGTGTTGTCAACTGCGAATCAACTATTATAGTATAGAACGCTATAAAATTATAGTACATTCGTACAAATTATAGTATCCTGCTGGAGACAAATGACCACCGATTGTCCTGGTGGGACACACAGAGATCGAACTATTATGAAATTTTCTGGAAAAAACGAGAAAAGTCAGGGGCGTATCATACCAAAATTTCAAATTTTTCAAATGAAAAATAAACCTATTGGAAATTAATGAAAATCAACTAAATTAGTCATAAATGCACCTTTTAATATTTTATTTTTTTTCTGGAAAACTATCCAAAGGAGAATTATGAAATTGTCTGAGCAAAACGAGAAAAGTCAGGGACGTATCATACTAAAATTTCAAATTTTTCCAGTGAACAATAACCCGATTGAAAATTAATAAAAATCAACTAAATTTAACATTATTGCACCATCTAACATTTTATTTTTCTTCTGGAAAACTATTCAGGGAAAAATTATGACATTTTCTGAAAAAAAAGAGGAAAGTCAGGGGCGTATCATAGTAGAATTTCAAATTTTTTTAACGGAAAATAACCCCATTGGAAATTGATGAAAATCAACTAAATTAGGCATAAATGCATCATCCAACATTTTATTTTTCTTCTGGAAAACTATTCAGGGGAAAATTATGACATTTTCTGGAAAAAAAGAGAAAAGTCAGGGACGTATCATAGTAAAATTTCAATTTTTTTCAGTGGAAAATAACCCGATTGAAAATTAATAAAAATCAACTAAATTTAATATTATTGCACCATCTAACATTTTATTTTTCTTCTGGAAAACTATTCAGGGAAAAATTATGACATTTTCTGAAAAAAAGAGGAAAGTCAGGGGCGTATCATAGTAGAATTTCAAATTTTTTCAACGGAAAATAACCCCATTGGAAATTGATGAAAATCAACTAAATTAGGCATAAATGCATCATCCAACATTTTATTTTTCTTCTGGAAAACTATTCAGGGGAAAATTATGACATTTTCTGGAAAAAAAGAGAAAAGTCAGGGACGTATCATAGTAAAATTTCAATTTTTTCAGTGGAAAATAACCCGATTGAAAATTAATAAAAATCAACTAAATTTAACATTATTGCACCATCTAACATTTTATTTTTCTTCTGGAAAACTATTCAGGGAAAAATTATGACATTTTCTGAAAAAAAAGAGGAAAGTCAGGGGCGTATCATAGTAGAATTTCAAATTTTTTCAACGGAAAATAACCCCATTGGAAATTGATGAAAATCAACTAAATTAGGCATAAATGCATCATCCAACATTTTATTTTTCTTCTGGAAAACTATTCAGGGGAAAATTATGACATTTTCTGGAAAAAAAGAGAAAAGTCAGGGACGTATCATAGTAAAATTTCAATTTTTTTCAGTGGAAAATAACCCGATTGAAAATTAATAAAAATCAACTAAATTTAATATTATTGCACCATCTAACATTTTATTTTTCTTCTGGAAAACTATTCAGGGAAAAATTATGACATTTTCTGAAAAAAAAGAGGAAAGTCAGGGGCGTATCATAGTAGAATTTCAAATTTTTTCAACGGAAAATAACCCCATTGGAAATTGATGAAAATCAACTAAATTAGGCATAAATGCATCATCCAACATTTTATTTTTCTTCTGGAAAACTATTCAGGGGAAAATTATGACATTTTCTGGAAAAAAAGAGAAAAGTCAGGGACGTATCATAGTAAAATTTCAATTTTTTTCAGTGGAAAATAACCCGATTGAAAATTAATAAAAATCAACTAAATTTAACATTATTGCACCATCTAACATTTTATTTTTCTTCTGGAAAACTATTCAGGGAAAAATTATGACATTTTCTGAAAAAAAAGAGGAAAGTCAGGGGCGTATCATAGTAGAATTTCAAATTTTTTCAACGGAAAATAACCCCATTGGAAATTGATGAAAATCAACTAAATTAGGCATAAATGCATCATCCAACATTTTATTTTTCTTCTGGAAAACTATTCAGGGGAAAATTATGACATTTTCTGGAAAAAAAGAGAAAAGTCAGGGACGTATCATAGTAAAATTTCAATTTTTTTCAGTGGAAAATAACCCGATTGAAAATTAATAAAAATCAACTAAATTTAACATTATTGCACCATCTAACATTTTATTTTTCTTCTGGAAAACTATTCAGGGAAAAATTATGACATTTTCTGAAAAAAAAGAGGAAAATCAGGGGCGTATCATAGTAGAATTTCAAATTTTTTCAACGGAAAATAACCCCATTGGAAATTGATGAAAATCAACTAAATTAGGCATAAATGCATCATCCAACATTTTATTTTTCTTCTGGAAAACTATTCAGGGGAAAATTATGACATTTTCTGGAAAAAAAGAGAAAAGTCAGGGACGTATCATAGTAAAATTTCAATTTTTTTCAGTGGAAAATAACCCGATTGAAAATTAATAAAAATCAACTAAATTTAATATTATTGCACCATCTAACATTTTATTTTTCTTCTGGAAAACTATTCAGGGAAAAATTATGACATTTTCTGAAAAAAAAGAGGAAAGTCAGGGGCGTATCATAGTAGAATTTCAAATTTTTTCAACGGAAAATAACCCCATTGGAAATTGATGAAAATCAACTAAATTAGGCATAAATGCATCATCCAACATTTTATTTTTCTTCTGGAAAACTATTCAGGGGAAAATTATGACATTTTCTGGAAAAAAAGAGAAAAGTCAGGGACGTATCATAGTAAAATTTCAAATGTTTTCAGTGGAAAATAACCCCTTTGGAAATTAATGAAAATCAACTAAATTAGGCATGAATGTACCATGTATGTACAGGGTGGGCCAAATTGGACACTTTCTTATGGAAACACCCTTTATTTTTAGAGATAGAAAAAAATAGACCCCCCACTCTGAGGCTCAAATTTCATGAAATCTTGATTGGTGCAAACTGCATTTTGATATCTTCAACCGTTTAGCCGCTAGAGGGCGATTCTCGATTTTGAGCAATATTGTAAAGTCTCCATAACTTTTTTGTTTATGAAAATAATTCATTTTCGTAAAGACCTTTTGGAAACACTTTTCCAAGTAGAATTCAGTGACGTTCTCAGTTTTTTTCTGTCTGGCTTCGATTTCGATATATTCACCAATATCCGATTTTTTCCAATAGGGCACCCTATATATTAATAGTTCATTAGAAAGCTAGGCTTTCGCTGATTTCAATGATATAAAGTTTGATAGGCTTATCTCTAACGGTTTTCGAGAAAAAAAATTATTTCAGTTTTTGTCATAAGAAACAATGTGTTAGAAAGAGACCTTTCTCAGTTTCCTTACAGAGATAAAGTCCTTTTCCAACACATTGTTTCTTATGACAAAAACCGAAATAATTTTTTTTCTCGAAAACTGTTAGAGACAAACCTATCGAACCTTATATCATTGAAATCAGCGAAAGCATAGCTTTCTAATAAACTATTGATATATAGGGTGTCCTATTGAAAAAAATCGGATTATGGTCAATATCTCGAAATCGAAGCCAGACAGAAAAAAACTGAGAACGTCACTCAATTCTGCTTGAAAAAGTGCTTCCAAAAGATCTTTACGGAAATGAATTATTTTCATAAACAAAAAAGTTATGGAGGCTTTACGGTATTGCTCAAAATCGAGTATCGCCCTCTAGCGGCTAAACGGTTGAAGATATCAAAATGCGGTTTGCACCAATCAAGATTTCATGAAATTTGAGCCTCAGAGTGGGGGGTCCATTTTTTTCTATCTCTAAAAATAAAGGGTGTTTCCATAAGAAAGTGTCCAATGTACAGGGTGTTTCCTTATATTTTGACTCCTACCTACAGCTTTAGCTAAACAAGGTAGAAAAAAACTTTGAATATGAAAGTTGTAGGGTTTTATGTCTTTTATCTTTTGCGAATATCAAAACGGACAAATGACAGGTGCCAACTGTCACAATGACAAACATTTGCATTTTTTAAATGGAACACCCTGTATATATTTGGCTAGAATGGTAACTTTTTTTCTTCTGATTCCAAATAAACCCTATACAGTGACTGCCAAAAAGTTTGCAACAAATGGGAAAATATTTTATTCTTAAGATATAAAAAAAAATGTTACGTGGGATCAATTCAGCATACCCATCAACAAAAAAAATCACTGTGACAGATGTCATGTGACCACAGTCATAGCGGCAAATTTGAAAAGTTCGCCTTAAATATGTGAAAACTGAAAAGTGAGGTTAAACGACCAGAAATCGAAAAATTGTAAAGAGAAAAGTGGTTCAGGATCTGATTTTACGTCTATGTGTCAATTTTCAGAGAGATACAAGGATTTTTAATAAATATCAATTTTTTGGCCTGTTTTCTGGTAATTTGAAAAATATCGAAAACATTTCGCAAAAATATTGGTCTAATTAAATTTAGAAAATAGGTATTGGATCTTTTAGGAAGATTTCATGATAATTCTAAGTTATTCCAAATTTTTGTTTTCTGTAGGTCATTGCAACAAGATCAGAGTGGTCTGAAAATGAATTTTTGGTTTTTTACAATTTGTCGCGGGACAATTAAGCAGAATTACCGCACTGGATTTTTTTTTGTGTTAAATTCACTTTGAATTATGTGAACCAGGCGGAAAGTTTTTGATATTTTTCAAATTACCAGAAAACAGGCCAAAAATTGATATTTTTTAAAATCCTTGTACCCTTTTGAAAGTTGACATATAGACGTAAAATCGAATCCTGAACCACTTTTCTCTCTATAATTTTTCGATTTCTGGTCATCTTACCCCACTTTTTACATATTTGAGACGAACTTTTTAAATTTGCCGCCATGACTGTGGTCACATGACATCTGTGACAGTGATTTTTTTTGTTGACGGGTATGCTGAATCGATCCCACGTAACATTTTTCT